TACCTTAAAAAGGTTCTGAAATGTTTCAAATGCAACATCTTTTTTTTTTTCAATACAGATACTTGATACTCAAAATTGCTTTACAAACAATAGCACAAAGAAGCGAAATAAATATTTAAGTGATCAATAAGAATGAATCAACAGTATTTCCTATTTTATTATTTGATTGAAATTACTTATTTATTCAAAGAGTTCAGCAGTGTTTGAATCATCTTCTGAAAGTTCTAAATAGTAATCAATAAATTTTAAGCAGACATTAATCATGACATTTTATTTTTTAGTGATTACTAATTCAACATAAAGGACTTCTTCAATTTGTTTGGTTTTATCGTAAATAGCAATAGAGGGTAGACAGCAATATTTGGTGAGGAAAAGTTTAAACTTTGGGTTTTGTTTTCTGACAGCCCAATCTTTAAAAGCATCACACACAAATTTGACTGGAGAAATTAACAATAGAAATGAAGCCTAAGTAATTTTACCTATAAGATAAAAGGCTTCTTGCAAAAAGTATCTAGTTAAAACAAGTGAGGATAATTGTGATTGTATTAAAGATCTTAATTATTATCTTTATTGTCATTAGATTAGACTTATAACACTAAGGATGAGGAAACTATGTAGTTATTCAATCCGAAATTACTTGGGCTCCTCAAAAGAAAAAGAAAATTATTAAGAACTGAAAATAATATAGAACATCTCCCTAGATTTTTCAAAAGGCCCAACTTATTCAAAATCAATCACAAAGCAAGCTCTCATTGATCTATTTTAAATATGTAAATTATATACAATGGTTAAGAATAAGAAAAAATTGAAAACTGCGATAGTTGCATAAGTGAATTCTTGGAGAAATTCATGATCAGCATAAATTTCTCAACTTATTCAAATAGTTCTGATAGATTTTTAATTCGATCATAATTGTTGTATAAAAAATACTCTCCATAATAGGTTAGTATAATAATATATAAATGACAGAATGGCCAATTTAGAAGGATCAGAAATATTTGTCATTTTCAAAATATACTCTTCATCAACTTAAAAGGAAGAGATTGAACTAGTATCTGATGAGTTTGCAATAGCATCTCTCATTTAGGATGCAAAAATAACTCCAAGACTTGCCACAAATATAAATAATCCTAAATTCAAAGCCCAAACTCTATATTAAGTATTAGCTTTCAATTAAGTAAGTAAAAGTTTAGATGATATACCAGCAAGGAATATAAAAATGAGTAGCCTCCATTTATTTTAGTATATATCGCTAGTATTAGTTAATCTTGCAGGAGGATTAGCTTTTTCTTTAATTGCTAAGTAATAAGCTAAATTTCTAGGCATACAAATATTGCCTTTATAAAGAAAAGTAAAGTGATTTAGAAAATTTATTTTATTATCTCATTAATATTTATATTTTTCTAATTTAATATAAAAATAAATCAATAAAAATTAAACATTCTCATTTTTTACGCACTAAGGGATTTGAATTTAATATGTACTTCCATTTTTGTGATCTGGCTTTGGACATGATTTCACATAAAGTGATTAATGAAGAGTAGTAGGAGTTGGATTGCTAAAATAAATATAAGGATATTCTCTTGAACCAAAATCAGCACCACATGCAATACCTAAATTAAATTAAGAAAATTACCATCAGGATCAAAACCTTTAGTTAATTTATCAGGTTAGCCAAAGAGAATGCTTGTGAATGTTAATGAAATAAAAATCACCATGCTTGTATAAAAAACATTTTTGAATATTGCAAGTGAGATCTAAGATCATTCAGTTATTAATAAATTTATATATATAAATAGATAGCATTTTACGGTTTAATTTATTAAATTAAAGTATTCAAGAGTCTCTGCAATTTGAGAAGAAGCTTTAGTTTTTTTATGAAAGCTATTTTGAATTTTTCTCTTTAGATGATTGGTTTCTATGCTATTCTAGGTTAAGGAGAGAATATAATTTCCTTCTAGTAGTGGACCTGAATGTACAAGTAAGCGACGTTTTTACTTGAACAATTGATAGTTTGGAAATGTGATAGTATTGATCCATTCTGAATGTTGTATGCATCTTCATGTTCTTGTTGAAGGATGGGATTTCTTAAGAAAGTGGAAGATTTGCCAATATTCCTAAAATACTCCTTGATTAGAGCTAACCGTTGTGTTTTCTTAAATTCCTAATCAATCATCTTAAATTATCTTTTTAGTGTTGTTCTATTACTTGCTTGTTATGATTACTTCTAAGACCCAAACTTCAATTAGAATCTTAATATTCCATTTCTTCTGTAATCTTAATTCTTAATTCTCATGCACCCATATTCCTTTTATCTACCATAAATTTAATACATTTGAATGTCTCAAACTAGATGGTTTCTACTCTACTCTCTGATTCAATATCAGTTCAGTAAACTCATGCAGCAACACTTGATGTGGTTTTAACATTAAATAAATCAGAAATATAAAATTATTTTTATCAACACTCTCTCTCCCTTATCAACCAAAGACTTATTTCTTATCTCTCGTATGAAATTTGTACGTCCTCTTAAGAAATCTTTTATATGTTATTGATATTCCTCTCTTAATTATGATTTTGGGTCAAATATAAAATTCTCTGCAAATCCTAGTTTCCATCCAAACGATTCACAAACTTCTGAAATGAATACTTTACAGAATAATAATAAAGAGTGGCAACATTCACACTTTTTAATATATCCACTGCATATTGACAGATTGCTCTCGATATACAACAATATTCTTATTTTATTATTATTATTCTTATTTATTCTAATGCCATAGTAGTTAAAATAAAAATCTCTTGAATTTCTAGCAAGTTAATATATCTTTTAATTCTAACCATATACCTTGCCTTATATAAATACAGTATTTATGATGAATAAATAAAGTATTTTATATTTTATATACACCAGAAGATGATTATGATGAATATAAAAATTTTAGAAATGTTTTAATAGAATATTTGAATAAGAAAATAAATTCTAAATTTATGTAGATTTCAGTTTAAAAACTAGGTATGCTCATATATTTTCTTCATATTTTGCTAAAGAGATATGAGTACGGTTGATTAAATGTTTTAAGTCGAAAATCAAGAAAAGAGTAAGAAGCTAAATAATAGAATGACTAAATTTAAATAATTTGAAAGCTGATATGATTATAAAATGATTCTAAAATAATGATAATTAATGGATTATGTTAAAATTATTTATTTTATTTAGTTTAATTATAATTGAGAAACAAAACAAAAAATAGATGAATTAAATTATGATTATAAATATTTGATTTATATAATTAGTTAATTTAAGATGAATTTAGAGATTGCTTGTTTGGAAGAATTAAAGCAAGCTGAAATTTAATTAATGTAATAGGTGTATGAATAGAAATTAAGATATTAGATTGAAAGTTTTAGATCAATTACTTAAATACAAAATTACAATTATTAACAAAAGAAGTAAGTAAGAAGGATTTACAGATAATGCAATATAGTTAATAAAAGAGTTAGCAAGACAAAAACTGAGTAGAGTCAGAAAGATTTAGAAGCTGAGA